ACACACACACACACACACACACACACAAAACGGAATGTCACGGGACAGAAACGGAATTAGGAAAATCTCGAGTCGCTATAGAAACTCTGTTCTGGTGAAAGCACAGAATGCGAAGTCGGCGAGTGAAATATTCTCTATTTAGCCGAGCTTCCGCCTCATTATCACGTCAAGTGGATTCCGTGGAACATTTTTATTTCCACCGGAGGAAAATAGTGGTATTTACAAGCGGCTGAAATGGCTGGTTTTCACCGGTTGGAAACGGATGCTTCCCCTCTTTTAGGATTAAAGAATTAAATAAACGTCAATATTTATTCGTACAATATTACGAATCGTCTTTTAGTAAATCGTACCTGTCCATCTTTGTTTAATATCTTTTCTCAAAAAGGGAAAAGAGAAAATGGTTTTTTTTTTTAAATTTTTCTGTCTCTTCGATATTTTCTCTCTCTTTCTCTTTTTTCTCTCTTTTTTTTTTTTTTTTTTTTTTTTTTTCCTTTCGACGAAATTCGAAGTCGGAATCGGTCGAATAATCGAATCTAATTGCGAAACGATACGGAATGGAATTATTCCATTTGGAATATAGATCGTTTTTAATTGGAGATTTGTTTTATCCCGCGCAATTATTTCGACGATCGGACGATTAAGCTTAAGATGTAAGATTTTCAAATTAACGACGCCATTGATTCGAAGACGAAAGAGCTTCCATCTATTTTCTATCTATTTCTTTTTCCTCCATTGGATTCTATTCTATTTTTAAATTCGATAAGAAAAAAAGATTATTGCACATCTTTGATATTTTCAACTTTCGTTTGATACGATTATTATTGATATTGAATCGAGGATTATTATAAATAATAGATTAATAGATTAAACTAAGAATTTTAGAGAAAACAGATTTCTCTTCTCAAACCGAATTAATCAAGAAAACGTGTACTCGAAACACGTTCTTTCTTCATCAATTTCCATAAAACTGAAAGTTTTCACATTTTCTAAAATCTTCAGCTTTCGCGATCTCCAAAATCTCCAAAATTTCTCGCAATACTGAAATAATCAAAATTCTCAATTCTCCAATCCTTATCTCTTCCAACGAACGCATCACGATCAATTCCAAAATTAAAAATTAAAAATTTCTCAAGTTTTCGTTTAAAATCTTTACAAAATCTTTTTACAAAAACTGAGTTCCATTATCAAAAATTTCTCACAATATCAAAAATCTTACTAAATTTTTTC